TCGCGATCCGCGTCTGGCAGTTTCGACAGAATACAGACCACTTCGAATTATTTTATTCGATTAAGCTAACGTGCCTATCACGTTGAGGTTGGCTACGCCGGGATTCGTTTTCAGCAAGTAGATATCCACACAAGTGGACCTTGTTGGAGCATACGTAATCCTAAAATGTGGCATCGTGCTACAGATGGCGTTTACTGCGCCATTTGTAGTATTTTCTATTTGTTTCATGTTCGTCCAAAACTTCCAAAAGAGCCCTAGTATGTTTTTAAACTAAATATTTTATAAATTGATATATTATTAACCTCGTTGATCGCAACTGATCCCGAAGTTCCGTATTTCCGCCTCTCAAAGTGTGCACTTCCGCTTGTAATCTCATGGCCGGATGGTACCAACCAGACACGTGTTTTACATCCATTGCTTTCAATAGTCTTTCTAGAGATTCCGATTTGATTTCCAAATAGGGAGATTCTGAGAAAAATGCAAACTATTTTTAAATAGCAACTTTCAACTTCCGACTTATTGTTAATAAAATCCACTGTGAATAAAAATCATCTGCTTGAGCTTCAACTACAATATTATATGATAGTAGTTCAAAATGGTATTTATTAATTTAGAAATTTTCTTCTACCTCCTCAAAATCGTAAATCAAAATGTTTATTAAGGAATATAAATAAACACGTAAAGTATGACTTGTCGAATTACATTACGATTAGAAAGGGCGCAAAGACTAATCTTAATTTAAGAGGGATTATTAGGTACATCACTATAATTCTTAACAATCATAAATCATAATCAATTATTAGTTGTTTAAGCAAACGTATCTCATCAACTTAGTGGTTTCACTGGTCACTATTTAATAAATGATAATATTTTTTTAAGACTGGAAAGAAGAGAATAAGGCTGTGTCCACACTATAATGTTTATCACGGTTCGTTCGCGGTCAGATCTCGGTCTGGTAAAATATTATAAAATGAAAAAAAAATTGTATCCTTAACAGTCAACTTCCGGTCGAATCTTCCAGTCGCAATCAGTCTTGAAGAATTCTGTTTGATCAAGATCGAACATGTCACAACATGTATCGATAGTATGAATGCTCTTTTGTTCCCGTTTCAATCACCTATTATCCGTTGAAGCAACGATTGCATCAAATGTAATTAATGTTTCTCCTTCCGTTTTGTGGATGCAGCCACATTCTTCTCTTTGTTTCATGTTTTCTTCTTGCGTTGATAATATTATCTTCTTCATCAAGAATAAAAGAAGTAACAGCTAATTGTTCAATAAAAATGTTCAATGAAATTTTTCAGCCTCGAATATTACAAGATATTAAATACTTTAAGGTTTATTTTATTATTAACTAGCAGCGAAACCCGGCGTTGCTCGAGTTAAAATATAAATGTACATTTCTATCTTAGATACCACTCTGTACCTTTATAAAATTTCTTAATAATAGTAGATCGTTCTAGAATATTCTAGAATATTTGGACAAAATCTAGAAAATTCTAGAAATCATTGATAATTAATTAAGGACATTTGGAACTTTCCACATATTTCTAGAACTTTCTGGACCATTACATATCGATTTTAACAGTTGCACACAATTTGGAACTTTCCAGATCATTCCAGATATTTCTAGAACCTTCAAGAACATTCTTGATCGATTGTAACAGTTGTACACATTCTGGATTTTTCTGGATCATTTCAGAAATTTTCCAAAAGGTACCATAAGTTAAAAAAGTACAGGTATATATTTTTTCACATTTTCGCCACCCACTTCCATCCACCGCGACCAAACTCCCTTACTTTCAGTAGGAGACCAAGGGGTATTTACAACCCCAACGCAAAGTTGATAGGAGTTGGTGGTGATAGATAAAACCCTGTCTTTACGTACGCACATTAGCATTATATATATATATATATGTATATATATATATATATTTAGATTTAGATTAGGAAATTATGAACATACTGATAATAATAAAGGTATTACCATCCTTTGTCACTTGCTATTAATTTCACATTAATCTTTTCATTTCGAAACAGGCTGTGAAACTAACTACATCCAAACGTTCACATTTCTCTATTTTTACGGCATTTTACGATATGGCAACTTTAAATTATTAGGAACAAGGGATAGATACAAGCGGTGAAATAGGTACTCTACTTGCTTAAAATTACATCATCTAGATAGTGCTGAAAATTTTACAAAATTGTAGATAAACATAATTGAATTTCCAAAGTAAGGAGTAGAAAACACGGGTGAAATATACAAAAGTAATTGCAAAAATCATGAATGATCAAGATTATTTCCCGTTATTTCGGACACAGTTTTGAAAAGTTGTGTGATTTCGAAGGGGAAATCAATTGGTGCCCTTTAATGTGTACTTGTCATTCAAGGTCAAGTTGTGTCAGTTTTTTATTGTCAAGGAGCGAGAAATTTGATAATCGAAAGTAGGTACACTCTTAAAGCTATTTGATCTTAATATCTTATATTCCGAATGACGATTCTTTGGAATATTTTTTTTTTCCAATCACAAGCAAGCGCTTCTTCTATGTTTACCAGTATGAACGCATTTAATTGACAAATTGAACAGCAGTTAACTGCAAAAGAGAATTAAATATTAACTTAGCTGTAAGTACATATTTATGTACCTTACAGCTGCTTGATTTGATATTGTTAAGAAATATCAAGGTTTCTGGATCGAGAAGAAAATGATGAAATGGAGCAGCTGCAACGATAAGATCACGACAGCAACGCTTTGTTCTTCATTTTCGCTACATAGAAGCAAAATATGATGTACGTATGTACGCCTATCAATAAATCATTATTGCACTACACATTAAACAGTCCTTTATTGTTATGGTAGCCTCAGTAGTGTACAACGTTTACGTGAAATCAATATACGTACA